ATTATTTCCTTCCTCCAGTGTTGCTTAATTCCTCACAGAAACTTTTCAAGAGGTGTTTTATTGTTGTTTTTTTGTTTTGTTTTGTTTTGTTTTCCTACTTGAATAAAACATTTATGTTGTCTTTCCTTTGTCATCTCTACTTATAGCTTTTGGTTAAGGCAGTAGCCCTTGACCTGCCTGCAGTCAGCTACACAACAAACGGTTATTATTTAACGTATGTTCTCCTCCTTCAAATGTGTTGCTAGTTCTCAGTCATAAAAAAATCAGAAACCACCCTCACAGAGCTTCAACCACACCGCTGGAACCACTTGGACAAAATGCCTTTGCTCTGACAGGTATTTTTCTCAACTTCTCGAGCAGGGGATGAGGGTGAGTGCAACACGAGTATGCAGAGTTGAGGTGAGTGCAACACGAGTATGCTTCCTGGGGTGAGGAAAGCAGTTTGGGGACTGAAGCCTGCAGGCCATGGAATTTTGTGTTTTGCAAATCATTGAGCTGTAAACAGTGCAAGACAGGAGATCTCTGCCACAGTCTGGTCTCTTGGGGAGCACTCTATTTAGAAAAAATGAGCTGGAAAATACAGTCTAGTGCAAGGTTAAAGTGTAGCACTGAAAATGGTCAAACCCAAACTCATACTGAGCAATAAGCCATGGATTTGGATGCACTTTCTACATGCAAAAGGCAGTTCAATGTACAGAGGCTTTCAGTGTTGTAATTGTTAAACAGATAAAAATGGAGGGTTATTTTCTACTGCTCTCAAGAGCAAACCAAGGTGGGGAAATGAATCATCTCCTTCGTCTCATGGCTGTTGGTCTCATTCCCAGTTCAGGAAACCAGTCTCTGCCCTCGGAGAGGACGGTGGTGATGTCTGCTCCTTCCAGCCTGGCTGCGAGCCGCAGCACGCCTCTGGAGGATGAAGTGACTGACTGCTTTAGGGCTATACAAATGTGATTGCTTTGTTGATCATCAAGAATGATGACTTGCCATTCACAAGCAGCGTGCTGGAAAAAAGAATTTTTCATGGGATCATTTCTAGTTTACAATTTAACACAAAACCTGTTAAAGCACAAGAGCAGTCTGTTATAGTCCTGAAACACTGTGCACAGCAAATTTTGGTGTTTATTTATGAAAACAATATAGTGTGGTTCCAGTGGGAACTGATCAAGTTGCATACAAGATTTAAGAGTCCATTCTGTAGCTGTAATAATGCTTTTAGCACTTTCTCAGATCCTTCTCTATATTCCACCAGAGTGGCTTGTGCTAGTTTATCTTTTGGACCATAAAGCATTTTACGCCCTCAGTATTTTGGAAGTGGTATCACGATAAAACAGATTTAAGCCACAAAATAATACACACATTTTCTGTTTGGAAATGTGTTAAATCTGTTTTTGGGAAACTAACTGCATGTGAAACTATTAGCACAGTAGTGGTAATACCCTGGAATATCACTCTAAAAGTGATGGCAGTTTCTTGTTAGCCAGTAATCCTGTTTTAATACAACTCTATTGAGAAATTCATCATTGAAGAATTATGTTCAAGAAAAAATATGCTGAGTCCTCTCTTAGACTTCAAGCAATGTATTTTTTTCTTTTAAATTTAATCTAAAGAGTTTTTGCAGCCTTTTATGAAATGAAAACTAGTGTTTGTTCCCCCCCCCCAAAGTTCTTTAAAAACAACAGATTTTTTGAGCAATACCTGGGGTTTTCTAAATATTCAGCAGGTAAATATGTTAAAATTAACAATAAAAAATCAGTATTTATAATAATGCAGGTAGGGTGATACTGTCCTTGGATAATGTTTGCCATGTGTGTGTCATAAGGGAGTATGGCAGCAGACAGGGCAATTTCAATGTGAAATCCTTCCCGTGAAGACAATTCAGGTATCGTAGCTGGAGTGAAGCATTAACATCGATATCCATGCTTTAATAGGTACATGAGAAATAACTCCCTCTGCAGTGCTTAGAAGAAAGTAATTCCATTTAGGACTACATAAATTTTCAGTTTGTTAATTAGTTTAAGAGAGGAAAAATAACATTTGGAACTTCCACAGGAGCTCCCATTAACTTCAAAATTGTGAAGGAATTGAAAGTGAGTTTTTGTTATAAAGCAGGTTTGGTAACCAGCTCCACTTCCAAATCAGAGCCCCAAAGTCTTCCCTTAGACTGATGATGACATTTTGCTCCAGCAGCACTAACTACTTTCTATTTTCTCCTTTTTTTAATCATTTGTTTTTCATTGCCATTTCTTGAATACAGTTTTTAAAACATTCTCCCAGTACATAGCAGAATTATTCTCAAATCTGTCATTTTAGGAAGCATTAGCCAGAGCAGATATACTCAGCCCAGGCATGCAAGGTCGTATGTAGCAACTACTTCAGAGAAATAGCAAGTAGCTGGAGACACGTAGAATGTCAGGTCCCCCTTCAAAAATGATTCAGCGTCTGAGATCCCGACCTGTCGTCATGTTGGCTTTGGCTGGGACCCCAGGCACTGCTGTTAGCAGGATCACCAATTGCCAACAAATGATGAGATCCAGTGAATCTTGCTGAAAACTGGAAGTCTTCCAGAGCGTGGAAGAATGGTCAGGCATATTTTTGGTAATGCAGATGGGAGATTTTCTAAATCTGAAATAAGCTTTCTACCAGAAAGGTTCTGTCAGGTTCAAGAGGGATATTAATGCCCTCCAAAACCTCACAAACTGCTGCTTTAGGCACTCACACAAGCAGAGGAAAGCCTTGAAAAGTGGCCTTTAGACTCCCAGCTGAGGATCCTGAGATAGATGGAGAGAGAATGAAAACCTCATCTTAGCCTTTAACCTTTCCTGGATGAAAACATTGTTGCTCATCTATCTCTATCTTGAATATGAAGGACTTGGATCACTTCTGAAAGCAGCCATGAATTTCTAGCTCAGTACTCACATCAGGGAAAAGATACTCAGCCCTGTACCTCTAACCAATTGAAGCACCAAAGCTGGCAAATATCTCAGACCTATCCCTTATGAATAGTTATGCCTGCTCTTCAAAACACCACTTTCAGATGTGGGTTACTGACCCTTGTCCACTGTATTCACCACCTATCAGTTAAACAGAGATTTGCACAAGGCATCAATGGCCCCATGCAGGATTTTGTGATCAGTCCTAGGGATGGCACCTAGATTTCACCTCTCAGCATATTTCTGTAGGCACTCACCCTCTTTCTGAGGTTTCTACTCCCAAAAACCCAAAGCAAGGGGTTGCGGTGTTTGCAGCAGATGAGCAAAGTGTTTATCTTGGGTGTAGGCCAACTCACAAGAACTAACATTAGCCTTGGTGCAATCCCTGCCCACTCTGTGCTGGCAGTTGAAAGCTGGCAGCTCTCACGTGTGCTATCCAGCTAGTGGGCACAGGGAGCTCTCTGAGCTTTTGAGCCCAGTCTAACATCTCAAACCAGAGCAGGCAGGATTTATCTGGGGGCAGGGCTGAGAAGCAATCCCCTTCAGAAGAGTCTTAATGGGCTCTCTGTGGCCAAGAATCCCTGTGGACCTGGCTTAATAACCCACAGGAACTGTGATGGGGAAAGTGGTCCTGGTGCAGTCATACTTGCCACCTTCATCAGGGGAGCAGAAAGCAGAAGAGGAGAAAATACAAGCAGAATGTTGAGAAATGCTGCTCCAGTCTCAGAATACAACTTCCCTTTTCTGTAGCTTGTTTGCGTGTGTACTGAGCCACTCAGGGATGGGTGGGGGGTGCTGGCACAGAGAATCCTGGCATGAATAAACAGCATCGCTTACAAGACCAGGCAGCCACAATTGCAGGATACACAACACAAGGTATAGACCTCGACACACTTCAGCAGTCAGCTCCGTGGTGGGCACAATAGCCTCCAGCTATACTTACAGCTTCCTTTTGGTGTTTGGTCCCTGCCTGTCATCTGCAGCACATACTGAAGGGAACAGCATGCACCTCATTATTTAGATTTACCGTTCGATTTGCAGCACTTTAGAGCCAAGCAAAAGGGTTTAATAACCCTCTCCCCACCAACTAAGGGCTGAGGAAATCGGTGGGAAACCAGGGCCCCACTGCATACTTCCCCTGGCAGCAGGGGTTTGTTTTAGCTGCTGTCTGCCTGATACTGCTTTGTGTTCTGAGAGGCGTTCGCTGCACTCACTTGATGATTTTGTGTGAAGAGCAGGCATCTGATCAGACTTTTAACCGGGGGGGAGGGAAGCAAAGCAGAATTCTGGTGAGTTAAATTACCTTCTGCTGCATACAATCATCCAGCATAACACAGCTCAGCAATAACATTCATGTTGCCATTAATAGAAAACACTTTGCATTGCACTCCAGAGATTTTTTTTCTTTTGGTATGGAAGCGATCCATTCAGATTGGAGCTGCCTGAACAAAGCCTAGGGGCTTAGACACCACCAGCAGCATCTCTCTAAATATCTCTGTCTTATCGTGTCATCTCTACATTTACTTGAAGGAAATGTGCCAACTGCTGAAGCTATAGTGCTCTGTGTATATAAAACACACACTTAGCTGAGTGGCCCTGTGGGGTGACATGAGTTATTTGCTGATTTACTTCAAGTAAGTCATGATAATACTTCAAGAGAATTGTCTTGGCTTCAACAAAATGTGTCAAAGCATTTTTACATAGAACGCTTCATCTGTGCCTCGCTCTCTCCTAGTATAAAGCAAAGAAGAAATGTGACTATGCACTATGCTGGTAAAAGGCTGTAAATTTTGATTAAATGCTGTCGGGCGGGCGTGCTACCATGCTCAGGGATAGGATATCTTAAGTTGTCTAAATATGAAAGCTCATCTTGGAAGCTTTTGGTCATCTTGAAAAACAAATTGAAATATAAATAATAATGATGATGTCAGAAGTCCAGAGTCAACATTTCCCCATATACATACACACAAATATATCCCCCAGTTTATATACGTTAACTGCTTCCACCAAGGTGACAGGTGCCCGTAGACCTCAGAGATACAGACAGTAACACGCTGAGAGCAGTGATACCTGACTGAAAGACAATCGAGTTGTCAGGCAGCCCAGGTCCAGCTGTAGGAGTGAGAGGGGCTTGCAGAGGCTGGAGACAGGTGGATGCAGCAGTAGTACCTCAGATGTTATGGTATTTTCCATCCTTTGTTCCTGAAACATTCAAGGGACAGTTACCCTACCTGGCTAAAACACAGCACCTCTTGAGTCATTTCATTAACATTTCTGTGTTGCTTAATGATGGTTGCATAGCCTAAGGCTGTCTACTCTGTTAAAATTAGCAACCATGCCTTGTGTTGGAAAAAGTCATCCTGTTTTCTCAACAGAGGTAAATCATTCAAAAACCAAGAAGGGATGCTGCAGCCAGCCCTTAATTGAATTTTGTGGCATTCTGAATGATAATGCATGAGTCTCCTCTCCAAATCAGGAATGAGGAATTATTACACAGAAGGATAAACAGGATAAAAATGAAAATTAATGCTCCTGGAAAACAAATCAAATATTTCTGCAAATCTGTTTACTGGCATTTCTGCTCATGGACTCATAAGTTAAAAGTCTCTGTTACTGAACCCAGAACAATCAAAGATGATTATCCCCTAATTCCTTGCCTTTTTACTCCTGGTAAAAGACCATGAAGTTACATAGAGCATTAAAAACATTACTCTAAGCAGTATGGTAAATAGACTGAGCTTATTAACCTTTGTATAAACAAGTAAGGTAGGAGTTGGATTATGGAGGATAAGGCTCGTGTTTACACACATTTATCTTACGTAATTAGACATCAGGGAAGAGGGGTGTAAACCACAAGTACAGGAGAAGAAAAATGAGTTATTCTCTGAAGTTGTCTGCCTTGTACAGTGAGATCTAAAAGTAGACACTATCAAGTAATAGCTTGCTATGTCATTTACATTTAAGAATGAAAGTAACAATTACCAGCCCTCTTTATAGGTCCAGGGTTGCTAGACAAGGTTGGCTCAGCATTTTCACACAAAATGCATTCAGGTCTTTCAAATTCAGACCTCTGTCATAATTGGATACCAGAGAAGTCCATCACAAAATAAGTAGAAACAACAGAGGCAATCGAGTTTATGGACAGCAGTGTAATAGAAGATGGACACTGGGAGACTTACTTCTCATTGCAGAAACTGAAGTCCTCCCTAAATTATCACCAGTTTGGAAAAGTGTTTTTGTTTTAAACTGGGAAGATAATTAAAAATCTCTAAATTCAACAAATTTCTGATGTACATCACTACACACTCAATATTCCCTATGTTACAGTGAGTTAATGTTAGCTCAGCAGCACTACTGATGAGATCCTGAGATACCACCAGATAGGATTTATTCTGGTTACTTTAATCTGTTTTCAGAATATCTTGTTCCTATAAATGGATGGTTGAGTAGTTGTCTTCTCTATCCAGGGCAGGAGTTTGTGCTATGGAAAGAGGAGGGAGAGGAGGTGTGGGAGCAGAGACTGCACTTTGGTCCAGCTGACCTAAGGAAGCATTTTCTTTTTGCTTGGTCTGTCTCTTGCCAAGCTGACTGTTTATTCTGAGTTTGAGCTAACAAGGCAACATTTTGAATGCTGGAGCTTGTAGTTTCATGTAACAGTAAATTTACCTGGGTTTAGCAGACTTCCCAAGTGCCTTTTCTCTTGGCTGAAAACAAACACAAGCAAAACATCAGGAAACAAAGCTGCAATTAACACTACAAGAACTACAATGTGAAGACACTTTAAGCTCTGTAATTAAATATTTTTTTTAAAAAATTGGGGGTCTACAAATATATTCCAAGATAGTTGAAGCATAGAGGGTCACCCCTGCTAAGAGTTTAGACATCCCTGTGAAACATACTGAAAATGAGTTACTGAGGCTTTTTCCCTCTGCTTTTTTTTTTTTTTTCCTTTTTTCTTTTTCTGTTGAGGATATTTTTGCACAGATCTGATGCCTTGGGATTGTTTGCGGGAGTGCAGGGACAGCTGTTTCCTTCCTGGATGCCAAAGATTTTTGTGGGGTGTTTTTTATCACTCCCTATCCTTCAAACATGTCTAGCATTATCATGCCTACGACCACTTAAATGGAAAGCACTGTTTACCACACTTCATAGTCTACTTTACACAAAAGTTTGGCATGTTTGTATAAGAGAGGCTGATGTCCAAGTACGTGTTTCTCCTCTGTAGAGCTTGAAGCCAAGTGGTTAGGTAGCTAGTAACTGACTGGTACTGCTGCAACCTCATCTAATAGAAAACTTGTCCTGACCAGAGTTTAAGTTTCTCCTGGTGTTTGTGAACCATCTGTGCAGTTTTTCATTAGCAAAGCTTGCTACATTGACCATTGCATTTTGCAAAGGTTTTCTGTTATAAATTAATTGAAGGTAAGACAAGGAGCAAGTCTTAGCTCTTCCAGTTGCTGAGTAAACATGGAGATACGTTCCTGTACATCTCACTATTCACAGTAGCAAGCATTTTCTCAAACGAGAGTATCTGAAAATCATTTTCTCCCATGACAGCTCTAAACTACAGGTAATACAGAGTCAAACAAAGCATTTCTGTATGAGGACTTGAAGGAAATCCTCATGTGGCATCCCTGTTTGATGGAGATTTTGCTTTCCTTTATCTACATAGATTACTGCTGAATTTCAGCATTCCAAGATTAGCAAGCCAAGCTTTGTTCAGACTCTAAGCAAGGCTACTGCCTCTTACTACTTGCCATGTGGAAGTATCTACATTCTGTAGGATTGATAATGACTGGGTAAAAAACAATCTCCCGATGATTTACTGCATCAGTACTTTTATTTGAGACCTGAATTCAAAAATGAGGGGTAGAGCAAAGGGATATTTTTCAGTATCCCTACTTCCTGCCTACACTAGCACATTTACTACCAGGACAACCAAGAGTTCAGTATTCCCAGTTTTGACATGCAATTACTTCACAGCATCTTCATTCTTCTCTGTATGGTTTTATAAATATAAGTATTAAGAAGATGGACTCACCCTGCAAGGTTCTGCCTCACGTGGCCCAGTGCAGATCAGCATTCCGGAGCTCAGAAACATACTTCTTATACCGATTTTCTTAGGACTTTGGCTAATTTCTGGCCACAGTGGAAAGAGCAAGTCTATTAGACTGCCTTCTGCATGAAGGGAGCCATCTCAGCCAACGTGAGGACCAGGACAGCACTTCTTTAAATAGCATGTAAGCATTTCCCAGGTTTACCACTAGCTTCTCTGTCTGAAGGCTCCATAAACTAGTCAGAAATGGTTTGTAACAGTGTTCCCATTGTGTGAGCGTGCACGGGAGCTTTCTGATTCAGGACGTGTTTGTCTCTCTTTGGTATATTTTCTTCTCTCTCCATCGTCAGCTGATTCTTAAGCATGATAACATTTGGCACAGACACTTCAGGGTGAGAATGGTTGTGTGTTTCATTTGATGACAGAGACATTTGAGAGTTCACTATTGAGTGTGTTCAGATTTTTCTTCCCTTAAAAAAAAAAAAACAAAAAAAAAAACACAGCACAGGATGACTGATTAAAGATACTGGATTCTCTTCAGGGAAAAATCATTTTTGCCAATCAGCAGAATATCAGCTCTGCGTTAGCAAGCTGGCTTGAGCACAAAATGACCTTTTTAAATTCATGTGTATCCATCTCTCTAGAATTAATCATCCATTCAGCTGGTAGTTTATTTAAACACAAATACCAAAAAAAGGTGCAGTAAGAGTACTTTCAGAATCCAAATATTTGCTTTCTACTTCTTTAACCACCTACTCACCACAAGAGTGAAAGCTGCCAACTGGCAGCTGAAAGCAACATTTTGTCTTCGATTAGTCATATTTGAATTTTTTTTTCCTGTGAAATAGTGCCATGGGGACAAACGTGTAACAACAGAGGGCAAATGAGGTCATTTGAAAACCAACTCCCGGGGCATGTCTGGATTGTGAATGGGTTCATGACTTTTGTTCAGAGCTCCCATTCTCCCACTGAGATTGTATTTCCTGCCTTAGACAGATCACTTCACAGAGCCAACAACTGCCTCCAGGCAAGCAGGATATAACGCTGTGCCCTGAGCAGCACAACACTTAACCTTGTGGGATATTGCACACGGGGTTTGTGTGTGCATGCACAGGTAGGAGGGGGAGGCCGGTTAATGTTACTTACTGACGCCACCGAGCGCTTCTGCAGTAGCGTGTTCTCTCAGCTGTCTGCTCCAAAGGAAAGGACTGTGTGAAATGCTTCATCTCCCTCATGGCACAGAAAATCTATTTTGCAGCTACTGATGTTAATCACTTGTGTTGGGGCTCTTCCAAGGATGCCCAGAGGTAGACCAGGATCACAGTAGGTGGTTTATGGACACCAAAGAAAAGATGTCTATTGAGATAGAGGCCAATTTGTTTGCTAATATTTATGTTCCAGCTCTCTGTGAGCTCCAGAAAGAGTGAGGAACTGTCCAATATGAGATCAGTGAGAGTTAATATGCTGATGTGCTAATTATGTTTTGGGGACTGGGGTTTGATGGGTTGGAATGTGGTTGAGCACAAGGGTCACTCTGAACTGGGCCTGCTGAACCTTCACTTCATACGTGACTTTACAAAGGCTGGAAAGCTTACATGGAAGGATTCCCAGTGAAAGGAACTGGAAGTGACTGAGTTCCCCAGCTTATTTTTCAAAGTGGTAAATTCCCATGGGGCTATGTTATAAAATGACATGGGTAAGAGAGAGTACGTCCTCCGAAGACATATCCAAAACTAACAAGAACTCTAAGCACTGGCACTGTGATTGATTCCCCCAGCACTCAGAACTTCTATGACTAAAAAAAGCATGTCTAAAAGTAGGGGCTTTTTCTGAAAGGAAGGAAACAAAGTAAAGCATCCTCACACGCCTACCTCAGGTCTGCTTTCTGTGTTACAGTAGTGGTTAAGAGATCTGTTTAGACAGGGCTGGCCACAGGCTGATAAGCCATGGACACATGAAAGCTGTAGCTTACACACCACAACTTCATCTCATTAGCACAAGAAAGCATTATCATAGAAATAGGCATTTATCTCCAGGCCCAAATCTTCCCAGTATCTCAATAGTTTTCCTTATACATCATGTTTCCAAAAAAAACCCAAACCTGTTCTTGCAGCACCTGCACACCTGCTCCCATTTGCAGCACTGTATGGGTGACATCCTCTAATAGCTTGGCTTCTCCAAGCCAGCTCTTCTAAATAGCATCACTGGAGGAATAGCTGCTCCTGTATGAGAAACAGAATGAATTGAATTCCTCTTTCCAGGACTTCTCTATGCACTCTGTTTTGAGAGCTCATACGATCAGATATGTTCTGCTTTTATGACTTAGTCCGTGCACATTACTAAACACTTGGATAGTTTCTCTAAGGAAAGCTTAAGAAAGCTCTACAACAACTCAAACAGTCTTATTGACTGCGAAGTCCCCAAATGGTATCAAATTTAAACTTAAATCCTGCTTGGAGAGGAAATGAAACAGAGAGGAAGGGATTGGGGAGAATCAGAGGTTTTTTAATTAGTTTGTGGTTGAGGCAGAGGAATCATCTGCTGCAGTACCCTGGCGCTCGCATGCATGTTGTTCTTTCCAGGGTCAGCTCTGGGAATGTGATGAGTGACAAAAGGAGGAGGTAAGCTTACCACTCCCTCCTCCCATTCTCTAGTCTCAAATCAGCACAGCACTGTTAAATTCTACCTTTACCTCTACCTCTCCTTGGCTTTGCAAGTTTTCCCAGTGCAGCAGTGAGGAGAAATGAGTTAGGTCGTGTACACATCTTGCGCCTGGACTCTTCAATCAGTATTGTGGCTGCAAGGCTAGGATGCTTTGGTTTAGGTATTCAATTCAGCAATGACCTACTGTCTCATATAGAAAGAAAAACCACCTAGAACATAACTTCTATTTCGTATTATGTCCCTGATGGACAGCTAAACATCACTCCTGCAGCACTCGCTGCATGGATGAACAACGCAGCTGCTGCTGCTCCAACTCCCCCCGATGAAACCCAGCGTAAGGAGTTTTCAGCACTTGCTCTCCAGACACTGTTCTTTCATGGAGAACGGGCTAAGGAAACATATAGTGGTGCCGAACTTTCCATCAGCATAACGCCACCCCTTTAGAAAACTGACTTGACCTACTTTTGATTTGTAGAACCAAGTGACACGCAGTTTATTATGTGCAAAAAAAAAAAAACTTACAAAAAAATTATGTAGCGCTCATGCTCCTTCCATGCAATCTAATATTTCTATCACGCTGCGCATGCTGCTAATTCAAAAGGCTGATATGGTCACAGACAGCCCAGCTTCTAGGATTTACCATTCAAACATACTTGAACTGGCACAAAAAATGCAATAAAATAATTCTTTCAGACAAGTTTAGAGAGAGGTATTCCCAAAAGACAGAATTCTGGCTTCCAGTCACATAAAGCTTACACTTTGTCAATAACACAGTGAAGGAAGGCATGAATGAATTTTATTTCATTGGACAAGTGACTTGGAATACAGATAAGGCAGGGTGAGCATATAAACCCTTAAATAAATGTTTTAGCACTATCTGGAAGGGAGGAATGCAATTGATTCCAATCTTTTCTGACAGAAAATCAGTTCCTCTAAAGCTCTTGGGGCAACAAACACTAACTAAGAGCGTCTGTTACTAATAAAATCTTTAAGTACAACAAAATAAAACATTGTCATTTGCAACTAATAGGCTATAATTAATGCGAATTATTACTCTGTGGTTTAATTGAAATATTAAACTGTGATATGAAGTCTTTGTTTTACTGTGGCTTTAGAGTCATATAACTTTGAGGAGGGATCTTTAAAGACCTCAAGAAAAACCTAGCAGAGAAATACTCGACAAAGCCCCAGACAAAACACAGTGCAAACACCAGCATCAGGAATACAAAAGATTCTGCTGCTCAAAAGCTAGAGGACTTTTTTTTTTCCACTGAGCATATTTATGTTACCTTAGACTGCTATAAACAGTTAAAAGAAAACACCGAGCAATGATTATGCCCAACAACATTCTTTGTGGGTGTTTCTCTACAAAGTTGTTTCGTGGAAAATCTTGACCTTTCCTTCCCTCTCTGCCTGTTTAACATGAGACTGGTGTTACTCTGTGCACTGCTGCTACAAGCTGGAGCAGTAAAAATTGCTGTTATAATTCTGGTTTTGCTTTGCAAACACCCATTATGCTTCGGACTGAAGGAGTGAATTTGGAGTTTTAGGAGAGCCACATTTGGAACTTTTACATGAATAACCCACAGAAGGTGCCAATTTGTTTTACCATTATAAATCTAACTCAAACCAGAACATTGATTTGCAGTTATATTTGCAAAACCACAGGTTGTTAAAATTCATAAAGCAAACGTAACATTATTATCATAGGGGCCCCAGGGATGAATGATACTGCTAGAAAAAAGGGACTGTACTCAGTCACGACCCAAATTTCAGATAAAATGGTACTTCATTCATATTGCCTATCTCAACCTATCACATTTGCTATGTGCCTGTTTCCTTTGCCAATATAAAAGGTCAGTGAGCATCAGAAGAGGAAGTGCTGAAAGGGAAGTGTAATGCTGAGCACCTTGAAATGATTTATGTGCCTAAGTTCAGATATATTAAACCTAACAAATGTACAGACAAATAATCATCTGAACAGCATTTTAGGTTAATAACCCCCCCAAAAATTGCGCTGATTTTCAGCACCTTACAGAGAGCAAAATTCTTGACTAAAAGCCGAAGTACTTGGCTGCTGCTATTCCAACAGCCTTGCACTCTGAGCATTTGAGAGAGAAATGGTTAAAAATGAACCAGCCTTCAGAGACCGCCACAAGGTGAAGCATTTGATCCCTGTTTTACATCCTGTCTCACATTACTTCTCACAGCCTTCCTGACATACAGAAGCAGGAAGGCAGCTTCACACTATTTATGTTTTCTTCTAAGATCTCAGCGCGCTGTCCTTAACTTATTGATAAATGCATTGCCCATTCTCACAGCATTCATTTAGTTTCGTACCTTTCTGTAGCTGAATCACTTTCCAGTTACAAAACATTTATTTTTATGGAGGGCTGAATGTCCTCTAGAATTTCTGAAATTACCACCTCAAAGGAGTAACTTTACTTCCAGTATTAAATGTTCTTCTCATAATGCCTTCCATAACAGGAGCAAAAATTATGGAATGGAAAAAAAATGCATAGAAATGGAATGCAAATATACTTCGCCTTCTAAAACCAATTTGTTGACAATTTTTCTTGTCCAGACACACCTGCAAGCCCCCGTACTCATCATCTCTCCTTTAGCAGCAATGAGGGCCTGCAGGTAAGTTTTACTAACATAGGGTTGTGGCTGTTTCAGTGGCTACATTAAAGCATTTAGCCTAAAATATGTAGCAATCTCCTTATTAGTTGATAGAAAATACTTTCTGGATTAAATTTGCTTTAAGGAACTACTTATTGGAATCAACTTAATTCAGATTACGTTAGTTATTATAGGTAACATGTCCTTAAAAAGTAAAAGGTGCCACGCTATTTCAGGTACACATGCTTGCGATTGTAATCATCTAAAGAGCTCTCATGGTAGACACTCAAGTTTAGGTCTGAGTTTCCAGGTCTCCCTGCCCAATAATGACAGGATGTCTGGATCTAACTTGTGCCTTCCCACCTTAAGCACTCTCTATTTAGAGTTAAGTACTCAGCCCTTAGACTTCACTGCAAGCAGGCTTTGGTACCACGTGAACACAAAACACAAGTGATAAACTCGGTATTTAGAAACAAAGTCGTATTTCTGTTTTCCTATTTCCATGGTGAGAGAGGCAACAGAATCCATTTGGCTATCCTCTTAGGAAGCCAAACTCCCCACACTGAAGGTAGCTGTTTCTTAAGGGACTGCTTTTTGGTTTGGCAGAAGAAAGCATTCAGAAAGCACATGGAAACAAAAATCAAGTATTAAACAACGGACAACGTTTTACTTGTGGATATGTCTGCACAGTAATCTATACTTCTGCACTGCTGAACCCAAAATAATTGCAGTCTCCAGGACATAAGAGTCATCACAGAGACCTCTAAAAATACGTCCCAGAACTCTTAATGCTAGCACAGGGTGGAACACAACCCTTCTGCAATCTCCTCTCTCAATTACACATTTCTGGCAACAGGCACTATACATATATATGCTTTAAATAAATTTCTGCATTTAAGTGACACTAAAAAGTGAGAGTTTACATACTGCAGTGAGAGGTACTGATAGATAAATCTACGAAAGAAACATTCCTGTATACTCAGAGTGCGTTTTTAAACATTAATTTTAACATTCCATCAACAGGAACAGAATTTCCTGCCTTGTGGTAGAGTACTGCAAATCTGAAGTTCTGGAAGTGTTTCTAGAAAATTTCTTCTGTATCTTCTGCTTTATGGAAACTTTCAAAAATTCTTTTTGATTTCAAAGAGAGAGGTGGCAGATTTCTTCCCATTCTCTCCACAAACTTTGGTAATTCTGATTTTCAATCATCTCTCATGATTACAGATGTCATTAGTGGTGATGGCCTCTTCTGCTTACACAAAAGCTGCACAACCCACCCTGCACCTGAGAACTGAGGGGTTCTATAGCCAGTGCTGATGCTTTCCCTCTCACAAACTGCTTAATTAATAAGAACTGACTGAAGCTGACTGATACACCATGGAAAACTTTCATTGCAGTAATCTGCCAAATATCTCCACCTTTGGCTGAAGGAGACTTTTCTTTCATTAAATATAGTTTTTAAATATAGTTTTCCTAACGCTGAAGAGAGCTGGTTGTGATTCTGTCATCAGCTGGCTATGACAAATGACCGGACAAAACAGTAATCTAAAAGACATCAGTTTGTTTTTATTTATTTATTAACCTATTCAGTACTGTAGATTATAAAACCAGAAGAGATTTTTCCATCATTCAGACCATGTAACACTTGAAAAGTTATAAAAACTTCTTTTAAAACAGACCCTGTTTATCAGGAACGCGTGACCTAGAACTCTGAGTAAGGTAAAGTGTGTTTGGAAATTTGGATGTAGCTCCTGATACCCTAAGACTGTGCGGACTGTCCTCACCAGCTGCTCCAGGGAGTAAAACTGGGCCTCACATCTTAGTTGCTCTGAACTAGACCAACCTAAAAAAGGCTGACCATATGCACGCTGGATTTGGCCTTTGTGCTTTCCGAAACCCTTACAGCCTTGAAACTTTCTTTTTCTTTTTTGTTTTTTGATTCAAAATAACGGTGACTACCAGCACGGTGTCCTTACAGTCTGATACGGAGAGCACAGGCCTGAAAGCTCGCAGTGACATTTGAGCGCGCAGGACTGCCTGGGGTGCCACCACACAGCTCTCCTGGGTGGAGAAGCCTGAGTGGTGTTGGGTAAGGACAGAGTTAATAACAAACAAACCTTAAACACATTCTTATGCTTTCCTCAAGAACTACCTGGGGCTCACTCTACAAGGCAGTACAGAAGTGAACTGATGTGCTTGCAGTATGGCAAACTGCCCTATGGCAAAGCAGGGACATGAGCATTAGACTTTGCCCTCTATTCTTCCACTGGAGGCATCTTCCTTAACTTGCTGTACCATCTCTTTCCTTTCACATCCCTGCAGTGTTTCTTCTTATTCCCTGTCCTCCTCCCTTTCTGCTGAGCTCCTTTATAAGCAAGGAAGCTTGCAATAATGATTTTTCCAGATATAGCTAGTTGAAAGTATTAAATGAATGCAAGTCAATCATTTGTGCATACACGGAGGAATCTGGTTTTGATCAACTAAGGCTTTTTTCAGAATGTTGTCTCGAGACATTTCTACTACATAAAATAATTAAAGCTTGTGGTGAGTGATTTTTATTGTTTTTGTTTTTTCTTTTTTACTAGCTGTATCAAATAGTAAGGAAAACCACCATTAAGATTTCAACATATCCAATTGTGCATGCTCTCCTAACAACTAATCCAAATTGTTAAATTTCTTGTCAACAGCAGGCAATGATTTATGTGGATGACCCTGACTTGCTGCACCTGTAAGTCTTTAACAGCTACACTTTCAGCTGCAGCAGCTTCCAGAAGTAAGTAATCAATCTGGAACATGTTGTTTCACAAACATAACTAGGTGATTTTAAAGCTGTGTTTTTCCCATAGTGAAAATACCAGGTTACTGCCAAATCGAGCTAGCTGTCACTCCCATCTGCCTTCATGCAGGCAGTGGGACGCACAACCAAAGTCTGCCAGGGAATCTCTTTGTGTCCCTTCAAGCTGGAGAACTGCGCGAGATCACAAGGCCCGGCGGCACTGGAAGGAAGTGCCAGAACATAATCCTGCAAACATACTGTTACCAGGCAGATCTGCGGGGATGATTGTGCTGTGTAATTCACACTGACATCCCTCTAACGCATAAAATACCAGGTTAGTACCTGTGTCACACAGAGCACACTTTGCTCCTGCTGCTCTCGCTCCCTGCTGCGCAGATGAAGCTCGGGCTGAACTCCCCCATTTAGGAGGGCAGTGGCACTCTGGATTCATTTTTCTTCAATTTACTCCAACACAGAGAGCAAAGGAAAGCCCACGTGCAGCTTTCACCATGTACAGAACTACACTGCCTGTTACTCTAACACAGCCTTGCTCAGATAAATGGTGCCATACAAACTGTGCAGAGAAAAGCTGCGGTACCTTGCAGGCACAGCTTCTCTCCTCCTCGCAAGTCCCTGGAGTACCACGGCTGGCGCAGATGTCCAGCCAGACTGTGCTGCCCTCCTCCTCCATGTGCTGTTGTAGCTTCTCCCCAAGGCTCTTCCCATTCGTGCTCTCTAAAGGCAGATGGATCCATTTGTTGTGCACATCTGAAAAAGAAAAGGGTAAGTTAAAATGATATATACATGGAAGAGGAAGGAGGAGGAAGTTTGCTGAACTGATGGTGAACGATCCCAAGAAAGCTGGTTGCTGGGCTGTCCACTCTGTTCCTTCTCTCCTGCACCACTGGAAGCAGGTACTTCTCTCTGTGTGGTTCCTCTGGAAGGATGCTGCAGGAGGTCTGTCATCCTAGAGAAATACTACTTACCCTGTGCCTGGATGTGAGTTTGTTTAGAATCGGAAATAAACACAGGAAGCTAATTTTTATTCCTGACCCCATCGCTGACCTACTGTTTGACTCCTCAGTTCATTTTTCAGAGCTCCCAAACCATAAAACAAAGTTCCACTCCCTCTTTTAACTGTGTCAGCTCTTGGTAGGTAGCAGTTACTGCGATCCTATCTTCAAATCAAAATGTTGCTAATAGCACACAGAACAGGGTAGGAAACACACAGCATTGCACTGTAAGTGAAATACAGCATTAACTGAAATGTTTTGTTGTAATTTGCTTTGCTTGGCTTTTCTTTCACAGAAGAAATTGAGACAATTCACCAGAATCAAAGCAAGGAATACAGCATTTCAATCCTGCTTACATGTTCTTTTAAGGAAGGCGTGTGTGAGGACATACCTAAATCCCACCTCTTTGAGACACTGTATACTTAACTCAGTGAGGCCTCATTCACTTCTAGTCTTAATTCCAGCATCCCCCAGGACCAAATAAATCTAAACCCGACTTTGTTGCAGTAACTTACTCCACTTGTTGCAAAGTCTCATGACAGAAGGCAAGCATGATCCTGAATTTCCCATTACCAACGCTGACCGAGAAAATTATACACATTAAGAATGAAAACCTCCAGTGCTTTGTAAGCACTTGTATTTGCCTTCTCATGAATAACACTTACAAATAACTGAAGGAGGTGCTTCAATTGCTATTAAACATAGTTTTAAGTATAGCAAGGGCAATATGTCAAAGCCATTTAAAAAATAATATTGACAAAAGCAGGCTGAAGTAGGGGCTGGGACTTCCCAAGTTAAATAAAAGCCTTTATAATTGGCAACGCTGACCAACAGAAATTCAACTTACAAAGCTGAGATACAGACAAGAAATCTGGGGTGGTTTCCACGCTGTTTTTTTTTATTTTTTACTTTACCGACTAGCTGAACTGACAACTTGAAGAGGATGCCTTTTTCCCCCCTCATCACACTGATAACATTAGCTAACAAATAAAATGAGATGCTGCCTTCAAGACCACACTCACTGGCTTAATGACACCAGAATGTTTTATTTTTCAATAGTCTTAGAGCAAAGACAAGGATATTAGCATGCAGCTACTTTAATTTACAGAGAACTTGAAAGGATGCTAGCACAATGTCTGAGGAGGCTTTCAGGATGTTACTCTGCATTTGCAGCATCACTCTGACCATGGACAGGATGTTGTGTGATTAAAATTAAAGCCTCAAAACACGGAACCCGTATCCATTACCACAGGAACAAAAAGCTAGCAAGTCAATGGTTTTTGGTAAGATATCATAATTTTTGTTTACTGTATCTGCTAAATTATTTAGGAAAGCTCTGCATAATTTATTTCTTTCAACAAGATACTTCTATGTCTTGATGTTGTTATCTTTTTCAAAACAACTTGTATTCAAAGCTAACGTGTAAGCAAAGGTAGCTTTAAGTATGCGTATGTGCAGTTATTTTTATTTTGTTAAAGGAAACTTGCAATAGTTTTGAGAAGATAATTTTGTATAAACTTACACTACCCAGCAACAGCGCTCTGAAGCAGAAGAGTATTTGCTTGTCTTTCAAAAGGGCTTTTTCATAACCTGAATATTATTACTGTAATAAGTTACTTTCTAAAATCAGATCTGGTAACTCTCAAGAATTCAGAGTCCTTTGTGATAGACAGCAGAGAGCATGACAAGTTTCCCTAAATACATTTCTGCATTTTTATGCAGGTGGCATTAACATTCAGGTATTGGACCCCAGATCACACTGCTTACCGATTTTGCCCCAGACCTGAACTCTGATGAATATAGGTTTTCTCCTTCCCTGATTACATCACAGAAAAACACGCAATTACTTTAGAATTGAACATATTCCACGTTACCTCCTGCTAAAGACGGTAATACATTCTGCAACAGAAATCGGTTGATTGGTGTAACACATGGCCAACAACCAGAGTTGCTTATAACTCACCACCAGCTTACCTAGAATGAAATGAAATGCTCATTGAAATACAAGGAAGTGGCAGCTAGTCTACTTCTGAGGGGTCTGTGGTTTTGTGTTGTTTTTGTTTGTTTGTTTGTTTTTTAATTATGCAAGCATATCTAATTTCTTCAAATTCCAGTCCTTCATGTTCTCTCCACAGGAGTGAACTGTCATCCCTTACGGAGATGCTGTTCTCCTTCGTACCTCCTGTATCAAGTGACCTCTCTGTCCCTATTACCTGCTAGGGACCCAGCAGTCAGAGGTTAAAACTGAATTCTACTTACTAGATGTAAGCGCAGCCCTTATTCTTGATACCCTTTTGGTCACGCTGAGCTGCACAGAGCCAAGCCCGTTCCAAGGTGGGCCGTGCAGAGCAGCAGCAGGACACACAGGAGCCGGCGGGGAGAGCAGGGCAGGGCACCAGCAGCCTGGGCTTAGATCTGCTTAACCTTAACCAAGCAGGACCGTGCCTTACAGTCAAAAGGCTCAACCTAGGAGGACTACGAAGAGCATGACACTTAACTGTGTGCATTTCTGGGAATGATTTTATCATGCCACCTTTTCCTGATAGTGTGAAGGGGCCTCTCACAAATCCATCACCTTTTTATCAGGGCATGGAAATTAGCACCTTACTGTGAAGCAAGTCAGTGCCTATCAGCTGAGCCAGCCAGCTCTACCTGATATGGGTCCAGGGTACACTCCTGGGTCTTACGGCTACTGTACAGACAGAAGTAGGCAACTGCAGGCTACAGCCTAACCCTCCTCCATCCTTTAGTGAATACAGTGCCCTCCATTTATCTAATAACCTGGTGTCTCCAACTCCTGCAGCTGTGCTTAGATAACCTCACTGAGGGACATGGCCAGAAAACAACCCCCCAGAAGCTTTGAGACAGTACCCGAGTGACAGGAGATCCTCTGAGCTGTTTGGGATCAACCACAATGAGAGTATTTTTGGTTGTGGATAGACTTGTATCTTTCTGGAGAATTTTGCCCAAATAGGTCAAGTGAAGAAATGCAAACACCTCCACATCAGGTAGCAGGTGGGGAGAGTTTGAAGAGCACATTTCTGAACAGTTCAATTTTGATCTGGCCTCAGCACTTCAGCTACCTGCCTGTGTTTGAGTCAGAAGATACAGGATTCAAGACAAGTTCACATAATTTAAATTCAGACTCATGTTTGTCTCTCTGATGCATCACCTCGTGCACACAAGGAAATAAACCCCACAGAAGATGGTTGATGTAATGAGAATTAAGTGTGGTTAGTTACAATGGAGTTGCAAATGCTGACCACAGACCTCCAAGAAAAAAAACAATTAAACCGTGCAGCAGTTTACAGTTAAAAACAAACAATTTGAAAGTTATACTTTCCTTGTCAAATTGCCTTAGATTTTTCATTATTTACTGATCTTTGCTCATTACATACAAAAACTTGGACAAATGATGGTAAAATAAAATAGGTTCTCTTTAAAAAGAGAGCACTGAATTCTGAGCACTGAATTTGCAATTGGCTTTTTTTTTTGGCTGCCACTAAAACTTTTTCCCCTTTCCTAAGCTGTAGCTTACCCTCTGCTGTGAGCAGAGCTAGCAGAAGGACAGGCAACTCCCCTTCTCCGGTGATCTGTTGCTCCAGTCAGCTACTGAAAATTCATTAGTGCACAGGTTACACAACATCCCTCTCCCACTCACCGGTACACTCAGCCCTCTCATTTATGAAGTTAATTCAGTGAGGTTAAATGACACAGTGTATTTGACTGCATTTTCTCACCTCCAGCTCCAGCCCTGTCAGGCATCCTAGGTACGAAAAGAAACACTCTCCTGCCTTGTTTTCATACCCACTACAAAAGGAATTGCATTACCTGCCCTCCCCCCCAACCCCAATTACGAGGCTGTGGAAGGAACTCCAATTAAGTGGTTAGCCATAATAGCATGGCAGCCCTTTAGGAAACTGCTTATCTAAATAGAGATGTACAGAAGGCAGTTTTCTCTCTAATAGTGATGCATTTTCAATTTATGCAATACAAAGTGCATTGGTCTGCAGTGTCCCTGGCTACTGATGATTAATAGCCCATACACTGCAAGGGTCTACAAAGAAAAGTGCCAAGGGAAGCAGATGCAGCGGGTTTTATATTATCATGACTGCAACAAACTCATTCAGTGGTGTCAGCTCTGACTGCAGGATTCTGATTATGAAATATGATGCGTGTTGAATTTAATGGCTTTCTCTGCCCTTCTGGTGAGTTCACTGCTTTCCAATGTCATTTTGTGTTCTCATCTGAGTGGTAATAAAAGGAATATCATTGACTGTGCTAGCTCTGTAACCACTGTGTGTTTTACAATAAATTGTGTTTCAGGACCTTTCTACCCAGGAGAGTGTGCAGGGCCAGAAAGTAATATTCCCCAGTTTTCCAATATGAATGCTTTCTGTGAGAGGACAGGAAATTATGCAGGGCTGCCCTTCTCTCGAGGCATTCCTTATGTGAGCAGGACATCTCTTTTTCAAAGTGGTTATGTAGTAAAAAGGTCAGTTTGGATTGCAAATGATATATATAAAAAAGAAAGATAAAATATCAAAATAAACAGCTACTGCTACAGAGCACAAATTGTGATACCTAGATGACAAGACGGTAAAAGTTGTTCAAAATAACATTTAAATACAGAACCTGGACGTATGTAATGTTACGCACGTCCAAGTGTGAAGTCAGAGGAGACTTGTAAGGTGGAGGGGTGGCTCTTTAGCTGGCAGTTTGCTGCCTCACCCAACCTGTCAGCATGCTGTGGCCCACACGACTGAGTTCAGCGCTCACCCTTCCAGACAGCTGGGGAGTCAGCTACAGGTGTTCAGGCAAATCCGTCTAATGCCCGCAATTCAGCAGTTTTCTTGCTTTTGCAAACAAAACAAGCCTCCCTACAAACACACTGTGCTGGTATCAGTGTTACAACAAGAGTCCACGTGCACAACATCACTGCGCTGCTGCCCGACACTGCCCCAAGCTGGGGCCATTTTACCACAGGGGGAACTTTGCTGAGTTGTGCAAAGAGAACAGAGAGGGTCTCAAATCAAAGCCGAGGCATCTTGAGTTACCTGAAAGGCTTCCAGTACTTCCAGCCTCCTTGCTTGCATGCATCTGCATTGACTGTTGGCAACTTCAGGGGCTCAGATGTTCACACATCTGGACTGACCAGGGAAAAGCAACATATTAGATAAATAGAAAGGAACTTTTTGGTTTTGAGACTTGCTGATAAATCAGTCTGTCTGAGCTTTCCTCTTGGTTTCTGCTGCAAGCTACAGCCATCCTGAAGCACTAAAGCCATGGCTAGGTTAGACACTGTGTGAGCAGAATGCAAGCCCCTTTACCCAGAGAGGGCGACACAGAAATAGACTCTTCCTTTTCCACCAAAGAAAAGGCACAAGTTTAAGTATTCCTCACTTCTACACTTAATTTCACAACTGTCCAAATCTAAAGCATCACTGAAACAGCCAGAGGCTCTCTTCACACAGAGCAGAACCATACTCACAGAGGCAGGAGCACATGAAACATAAATGGCACTTCACTCCTTGTAAATGCACATCCAAGTTTACCTGTGATGTTTTCTTAACTACAGACCCTGTACCAGAGTGTTGCTGCTTCTAGAAACACAAGATTTTTTTTTCATGCAGGAGGACTGAATCTCATACATTTAGATTTCAGTTCACTATGATCTGAGTCCATGGCTAGGGCTTGATTTTATTATTATTATTTTTTTTGGTGATGAAACCAAATTGCAAAGGTTGTTCCCACGAACTTACAGTTAAGGGGGAAGCTTGCCTGATTGGTCACTTTGTACATTCATCTGTTATCAGAAGACAAAGGCCATCAAGAAACCAGGAAACAAGCAAGTTACTATCACAGATAGATGCACCATTCAGAGCCAGCACTGCCCTGATTCAGTTCCCTTCTACTGAGGAAGTTTGCATTCAGCAGCTCAGGTACATCCTGTACCACTATTAAAAGAGTCTTCAAAAAGAGTTTAGGAATGAAACTTCTACTTTTAGAATAATCCAGAACATTTTAAACCTTGTTTTCCTTTGTCTCTAGTTGAAATGCCAGTGATATTCTCTATCATATTTTATGTATGAACACTTACAAAGCTTTGCCTAAAGGACAAGTAAGTATATTCTTTTGTCCTTTCAGAATGTAACTCATGTATTTTCACATAAAAATGTATTGAAACAAGATTTAAAACTGTTACAGATTTCATCGAGACCTACCTCCAGAGGGAGAAGAAAAGCAAATTAACATTTAACATGGTGGCTCTGTCTTCTTCCTTCACTGTTTGCTGAAAAACTTGCAACAGTTGAAATGTAGAAATGTCAGACAGCAATCTGTGATCCGTCTCAAAGTCAAGTTATGTATTGCCATAATGAAACAGAGCATTTGTCATCTTCGGTATTCTCAGCAAAGAGTCATCAAAGGGGCAATGAACATTCCCAGAGGAAGAGATCATAGGAAAAGGAGGTCCTGTGAGTATGGTGGTGAGTGTGACAATCCAGTGATGCTCTTCCCTTCTACGCTATGTGCCCTTATCCCTTGATTTCCTCTGGTTTGTAGGCACAAGAAGTTGCGTGTCTGTCAGTGCCCGTCTGCGTACAACACAGATGGGGCAGCGCGCATGAACCAAGCACTTGCTCTAGGGCTGGAGCCAACAGAGCCACATCAGCTTCTGCTTTCTGCCCACCATTAACAGAAATAAGATGAACAGCCCACCTAAGATGCTGGCCATCCTACCCCCTGGTGTTCTCAGGGTGCTGGTAAACTGCTGTTTGCAAGCAGAAAAAGGCAGCAGAGAAACTGCAGGCTTCTTGGAACCAATACAAAAGTGGCCAGCACTGAAACCTCTCCCTTTGAAAAAATCCCATCCCTCAGTCTTCTCTGCACAACTGTCCATGGAGCGCTGCTCTTTAATTCAAATACTCTCATGGACAGTTAGACTGATTCAACACGGAGAGGACCAGAGTACACCAAATGCATCCACGATGTTCTTCCCAGGCCAGCAGAGACTCTGCACAGCAGAGGAGAGCTCAGAACACCAGGGCACGAGAATTTCAAGCAGGTAGAGAGAGGTTCAGCATGACTAAGAGAAAAGTTTCTTTGGTGGCTGATTATCCTGAGTGGATGGGTGTAGGGGGAGAAAAAGATGTACTATTCCCTGTGATGTCTGGTGTGAGGTACAGTGCTTATTCTGAACTTATTTCTCATGTTTGAAGTTGCAAATCTGGTCCTCAAGTTCAACAAAGTCTTTTAGCAGCAGTGTTTGTCATATTGACTTCAGTGGGGCCTCCGAGCTGCAGGTCTGCCCTAAGCAGAATAAGGCAACGTGTTTAAAGCCAACCCAGTGTAACCACCCGTCACACTCCACATTTACACCAATCCCTAACATTGCCTAACTGGAAGCCCTGATGTCCCTGTACAGTATGCCCCTCGATTTGTAAACCTTTTGCTGCAGAGGTACACAACCAGCCAGGTTTCTGATCAAGCTCTGCCTTTTGGGAACTCCAGTACGGTCCCACTAGGAGCATGGCACAAGGCTTGATTCCACAAACAGCAGCTGATCATCAACAAGTGCTTATTACTCAGATCGAGGCCTCCAGTCTTGCTGTTTAATTTATGAGCACCTTGTGGTTACGATAAACATGAGATGCTAGATCACTAGGGTTGGTTTTGTTACTTTGGGCTGAGCAAAATTTCATACCAATTCTGCCTGTGCCAGGGCATGTGCTAAGAATGGCTATTTTGCTGCTTTTTTTTCACCACAAAGACCATACCTGAAGTGCCCTGATGCATGTCAACGTTACCTTCTTATCTTCCCTCCACCTAACCATGGCTATCTTGTAACATTCAGGCTCCTCCAGTCTGGTGGGATAAGCTATATGAAACGTATTCTAAAATGTGCCTCTAAGATCTAACTAGCGGGGCAGGCCTGCTTGGCCCTAAGAGAGTAGATGTACAGGACAGGGACGATTAATATTCTTGGAGGCTTCCCTTAGCACACACAAAGGCACTAATAACCTCCTCGAACAGAGTGTCTTTTCTCTTGGGGGTAATAGCTCAAGGATAGAAAAAGAGAATTTTTACGATATATAGGAATATTCTTTTTCTTGTATAAAACTAACCATTTTGGCTCTTCAGTGCAGAACTGAGCTACCTCAATCCTACCTGTGTATCTGCACCTGTGTAAGGACAAGTTTGAGCGCCAACAGAATACGCTGTAAGGAGTCTATCTTAGGCATCCCCATTTGCACTTAATTTGTTTCATCACATAGGGATAGGAATTAAAGGCCTTCACTACAGTTTAGGCAGCTTGCCAATACCTATTTTATAGCAATAAAATATGTACAAATTAAGGAATCTCATGTGGAAAATTCATTCAACAGCCTCAAAAGCCAAATGAATGGTAATTACTTCAAACACAATGTGGTGGCAATCAGGCAAGATTGGATCATGCTTTTAAATGTATGTCTAAATTTTTAAGAACCAAGATAATTATGAATTATGAAAATAACTCAGACAATGCCACAGCAAAGACACTGCTTGTGAAATAAGAAAGATGTTCTGCAAGGAATGGGGAGCACTCATTCCAGCACCTGCATGGGAATAGTCAGAGAGCAAACGTGGGGCTGATACTTTATTTCCTTACTTTGAGCCATCATTTTATACTTTAGGATGGATCACGAATGCCTTGAGGTAAAGAGTAAGTAGAAGCATATAAAATAAAATACAAGTAAAAGGGATTTATCCTGCTTACTAAAAGCAATAGAAGTCCTTCCTAGTCCGCATTCACAGATATTGTAATGTAAAAATAAATTTGCCATCTTAGTTCTCCTGGTGAGTTTTCTTCAATATGGAAAAATGGCTTAGTGCTTATCTGCTTATGCAATGCCAACTGAATGAGCAGAAAGTGGGTTCATTTACCGTGGGTAAAGCTGAACAGATTTAGATCAATATATATGCCTGCCTTTTACAAGAAGACTGACAAATACAACCATACCTTTGCTGTCTTTTTGAGAAGTCTCTAGGAAACTCTTCCATCCAGGAAAGTGCAACAACATGGATCTAGATTAAAATCATATCATTCCATTAGCAATTAATCAAAATAAAAATACAAAACAAGATACATACAAAATGTAAGATTTATTTTTTCACTGGAAAAAATGCCAGGGCATTGGACCAGCTTTCTTGCAATTTTCTTTCTTTTGTTGTAGACAATCTGGTATCAAAGAATAACTTCAAGTTGGAAGGGACCTTTGGAGGTCTCTCGGCCAACTCCCTGCTCAAAACAAAGACAACTTCAAATGTTTTGCTCATGGCCTTGTACTGTTTAATAGTAGTGTCAGTACACACTGCTGCACTGTTGCAACTAGTGCTTATCTCTGCACCTAGCAGGGGCTGCTGACATACCAGCAAGTGTGAAAAAGCCTAAAAGAATTATGTAAAACCTGGAAAATCTTGGCCTCACAATGCCTTGCACCACAAGTATTACACTCCAGCAGCAGGGTGGCATCACTGCCTTTGCATGGCTAACTTTAGACCCGTTTTCACTGTGCATTTGTGCAATGTCAAATCCTTTCTTTGGGTTCATTTACAAGCCCTGGGAAAATGCCATTTCCTAATATCACTGCACAGTGCACCAACATTCAAAGCTGCTTTGAAAACTAGAGTGAAAAAGTAACCTGTCGTGGTTAGGATTTACCTAACTCAGTAGGGAGTATCCTGTCTGCAACAAAAGGCCGGACTCAACCTCATCACAGGCAGCACTGCTGGTTGCTTTGTCTTGCTATGGCAAGACAAAACCAGGTAGCACAATCGCTCAGTGTAACTTGAGAGTGAGTTATTTGTTACTGGAGGGTTATCCCAACTGTTTCCCAGGGAACCTTTGTTAACACCAGCAGCGTGCATGGCGAGGTCTGACATCAACTGGAATAATAAAACATTTCATTGATCCCTGAGCCTCCTCATCTTCTAGTGCTCTGTAACAGCTGCTGCTGCTGCCTTGGCTCTCTGTGCCACAAAGCACAGAGCCTGCAGCCCACGGGCAGAACAACCACCTTGAGCTACAGGGGAAGTTATCAGGCGGTGAGCTGCATCGCCCAGCACCAACGGGGAGCGGGGACACAAAGCTCACAGCCCCTCCTTCCCACCCTCTCATCAACTCCCAAGGAAGCTGTCCACCGCTTACTGCTGTGTATGCATATTTATGTGCTGCTCTTTAATTAAAGCTATCCAAATTAGTCATATTTGAGAAGCCTCTCCCTGTGGGAAGGTCTGGTACTACTGTCAGATCCACAGTGGACGGCTGTGCCAGCTTAATGCACGAGTGAATATAACCACCACCCAGCCTGACAAGTGCAGATGGATTGCCACCAGCTGGGGTGAGAAGTGACAATGATTGACGTCTGAACAACCTCCCAGTGACAAACCTGGCCTACTTAACGCACCTTAGTCTCTCTCCAAAGTGAATTTGATCTTACAGACAGTTCAGCAGGTGCAGTATCAGGGAGCCCAACTTGTGGGTTGTGTTTTTTTTAAAGCTCATTGAAGATTTTCATGTAGAATTTTTTTATTTCAAATCTTTTTCCTCCTCTTCAGGCTCTGCCATACAATGAACATATCTTTTTCTTCTTTAAGGTTTACAGGGAAATACAAGCATTTTAAAACTCTGTAAATGTTTGTGAAAGGAATTACTTGATTTCTTTTTAATTTCAATTCCCTACCTTTAAACCTGTTAACAGAAGATCAGTTCAGGTGAGGTGTCAGAATTAAGTCTTCCCCCGACTTGTGCCTTTGCTCTTTGCTGACTTTTCAGCCTCCACCAAAGATGCCTACTGTGAAACAGGAAAGAAATTACAGCTCTGGCATTTTGTAGCTTCAAAATAAAAATAAATAAATAAATGAATATTAAAAAGCACAGTAGCAAAAGAAGAAATATGTAGCAATGAAAAAAAAAGTGGATATATACTGAATGAATTAATTTTTCATTTTAAGTTTAAAAAAAAAGGTTTAAAAATATTTCTCAGGATATTTAAAAATAGTGGAAAATGTGGTGCCTCAACAATGAAAATATGAGAATTATGATTACCTGATGTTTTGCTGCTTCAAACAAGCAACATGCATTTTTTGTTTCTCAACTAACATCTTTATTCTCCATCTTCATACCTGGGCTATACGATGTTCCTATTTGTAGTCTGTATCTCCTGCTACTGAAAAATAAAAATGAAGCATTTTCATCCTTGAAAATCCTAGTACTTTGTAGCAAGTAACTTAAATCAACCCCTTTTGGAAAAAGTTCTTAGCCTATCATAACAGAAATTATTAAATTCAGAAGGCCCCACACCCTCCTTCCAATATTAATTGCTTCTTTTTTTCTTTTTTTTTTTCAGCACTGGCAACTGCAAATTCAACATGACATCTCCTTGTTTAAGGATACCCATAATGTACACGGGTATTGCTGAACCTTAGTTTCTGAAGCTGCCAAGTAAGTGTTCTGTAAAGCAACAAAAAGACAAGCACAACATTGAAGACATTATCTGAAAATGACCACAAAATACTTCTTTGTAGATATTGGAAGTGGCAGACGATGCCTTGACTGTGGAGGAAAAAGACAAAGAGCATGCAAGGGTAATTCTTGTTTCACTGCTAATAGATGAAGATCCAATACAAGTCCTGATTTTCTAGGGGGCTGTGCATACGTGTGTGTGGTTTAATTTAAACAGCTCTGCATTTCACTAAATAGATACCAAAATTGATTCTGCCTACTTCAGGCTAAACGTGTGAAAATGCTGACTGACAGAATCACCTAAGGGTAATAAATCTGCCAAGTGTTTTGTTAAACAGCTATTCAGTTTGAAATGTATCCTGGCATTCTAGAATAACAATGGGCTACTGTAATGTATGGTGCATTAATTATATAGTTGACAAGAAAATTACCCTTCAAGCCAAAATTGCTAAAAACTTTACTAGGCTTTTTTTTTTTTTTTTTAACCCTCTCCTCTTAAATGCAGTACTCAATGCCGCCTGCCCGGAGGTTTTTCCACCTCCTCCTGCAGAGTTAACAGGCACAGCAATACAAGGAGATTTGCTCTGATGTTCCTCCACCAAGAACATTTGTTGCTTCCCCAAATTTTACCACAGCTGCTAAATGATAAATATCAACATAAAAAACAGCCTCGGCTTTCCTCAGTGTAAGTTTTTTTCTGATAAACATAAATAATAAGTTGTTTCAATGTGTGAGTATCTTCTGCCAACCTGGAAAAAATCCACCAGCTTTCAAACACTGCTCACATACTGGTGGAAGGTGACAGGTCAACACTCAGATGAGTGCTGTAAGTGTCATGCCAGGACTTTGTTCTGTAGTCATTTCTTTTAGTACATATTTTTGTTCAGAAATTTCGCGATGTGAGAAATCCTGACTATAAGACTTCAAATTAAACTGCAAAGATGACTAATTCTTAATTTTAAGATAGTAACTTTCTAAACACCAGTTATGCATTTGCTTTTTTTAGTTAGACTCTCTCAACACACAGCACAATTCTCTAGTGAGTTTTCAGTGTTCACGCACCATTGCTGATATGGAAAAGCACTTCTAGTATTGCCAAGACAGCAAAGAAACGTTTCAAAATTGTACTGAAGCATACTCTCAACAACGATGTGACAGGACTAAAGAAAATATTACAGATGGTGTAAGCTGAATTAAAATTGAAAGCCCTCTTATAAGCATAAAACTGAACACCCCATTTCCTATAAGCAGAGGTACTCGCGTGACTGACAAACATCTGAAAAACGGTAACACCAAGATTTGCCACCCTGCGGTACAGTCTGTAGGGACCTAGGTTTTTAACATAGTGTAACACTTTCTTGAAATGGGATACACAGAAATTGACTTCAAAGCATAATTCAAGTGAGTTACATCTTTTATAGTTTGTTTTACTGTATGTTTTGTAAATGCACTATTAACACAGATGAACAGGTACCACAGACTAAAAACCATAACAACTTCAACCGTTATAAACCCCATTTTACCAAATCTCATTACCATGCACGTTATTCTAATGCAGCACATATGACCCTTTAAAGCCAATTCCTAATCCTTAAGCATATCCCTGAACATCGTTTTGATTGACCTGTCTGATGGAAAGCCCGCATCACTCAAAACCTTTCCATCCACCTCAGCAAGCTGCTTATTATTCACTCCAGAAGTTGTGATGAGTTTGGTACCGTAACAGTGTTTTCTTTCGAGGAAAGCTTCAGGTGAAACAGTGTGGACAAGATGCTTAAAGAGAAAATCAAAGTAAATACTGTGCTCTCATGATGACCAGGAAGGCCTTCAGCACCACAGCAGAGAGATTTCTGAATAGTGAGGACAGTTAGATCCTATCAAGAGATGCATCAACATCACTAACCATGAAGTGACCACAGCCACACCAATATTTAATAATGCACCAAGTGAATCAACAGAGAACAGACTGAAAAAGTACACCTGAAGTCCTCCTCCCACTTTCCAGGTCACCCACCAACTTATTTATTGCCACCGTCTTGGTGAGCATCTTCCACAAGTATCAGATGCGGCCACATCATTTACCTACATTTGCAGGCTTGTCAAGTTTCATCCAAAATTAGGTATGTTGTTCTTCCCATTGCCCCATGATTACCTGATTTGTCTAACACAGACCAGAGCATTTGTTGCAGAACATCATCAGATCTGCAGTTCTGAGGACTCTGCCTTGATCACGCAGACTTCAAGCAGCAGCCAGTGCCCGGCACACTGAAGGTGATCCAGCTGACAAATACGCCCACAGACAAAACTCTGCCTTAACCACGTGTAGCTACGGCTGCCAAACACGGGCTCTTGTACTTTCTAACATGAGATAAAAGAGCTGTTATTATCACAGATCTCCTCCTCAAGTCATCTTTTCTTCTTTTCAAACAGGAGAAAGAGATTAAGCCTCTCTTCAGATGGCAGGATTTTCAAATCTTCCCTGTAAACCTTTTCCAAATCCTGTCCACTTTGCCAACATCCTTTCTGAAGTTCACACATCAAAATTGGCCACACATTTCTGATAGTTAAGTAAGAGCACTCTGAAGCTAATTAGAGCAGTTCTATTTAGCAGTTCTCCATTTTACAGCCATGCTTTCACCACTCACTGCCTTTGGGCCACACATGCTCTGTTTGCCTGCACTTCACTTGAGCTGGGCTTTCTTCAGTGGAAAGAATAAAATGTAAATGCTTGCTTCCTTTCTCATACAGCTTAATTCATGCTTGATCCTACACAACTCCATTACTTCCATCTGCTTCCAAAATGAGGTACACTTACAATTTTCCAAAAGCAGGGTGGGAAGGGGGGGGGGTATAACTTTGTAATTGGCAAAAATCTGTGTACTTCATGCTCACAAATAGGCATTGCTGCATCTGTAGAAGAGGAATCTTGGCTTTGCTGACTTCCAATACATCAGGTTACAAAATGGGAAATCCCTTCCCAACAGGCAGTACAATTGCAGTTGCCATTACACGGCACAACTTCCAGCAATTACTGGCAACTTCTGCGGGCAGCTGTGCAGCCAGACAGCACCTGGCCACATTTCTGAGGGTGATCACACCCTGCCAAGGCCCCACCTCACAGCTCCCCAGGAGCACCACTGGTTACTGACGAATTCTGCTGAGTCTCCAGAGCCCACATGATCCCGTCCCAAATCAGAAATGTCACACAGATCAAATCACAAGAGGCATTTGTGCCAGGAATCACACAATTCCCATGTACATGTGCTAGGTACCTTCCACGATAACACCCTCTGCACCAGCACTGCCAGCGTCAGCCAGACTCACCGGGACTAAACACAGCTCAGGACCACCTTTGCAGCCACATTTTCATGAGCTTGAAATGCTTTAACTGCAGCAAACACTTACCTCCACTCTCTACGATGTAAAAAAAGGCTGCCAAAAATGCTAAGCTTACAGGAAGGGGAGAAGGCACCAGAGGAGGTTAAAACCAAGCAACAACTCTAAAGAGACGCTGCGAGCAGTGACAGCAGCAGATGCCAGGTACCCTGGCAAGCGTTAAAATCTCCGTTCTCCCCTGAGTTCGACATAGCCATTTTCATACTCCCTCCCTGAAGACAGTAAAACAGCATTAAAAGATAAAAAATATCAACAACCTTTCTACATTTACATGAGTGCAACAGTGAAAAACAATGAAAGCCGTTTGGCATTTTTATATGACAGTTCAAATAAAAATTAATGGTACATGTAATAATAATTCCAAGCGCATTTTGTTTCCATTTATATCCAACTAAGAGACAATTTTTGGTGCATTTGGTTTTATAGCTCTGTGTATATGCAGCAAAGTAAAAATTCTGCACAGGGGAAAATAAATAAGTGGCTATATGACTGGTTGACAGTAAGATTTGTAGAGCTAATTAGTTCAATGAATAGGAAAGGCACTCAAAACTAACAGCTCATCAAATAGTTCTTCATACAAGAGATATCTGTCACCCTGCCTCCGCTGAACAAATATTTTTACTGTATTCCAGAGATCAATGCCAACAGAAGCAAATAAAAACAAACCAAACCAAAACAACCCTAAAAGCTGTGCAGTGACCCAGGCTGACCTCACTGAGCTCAGAGGTGTTGGAGGTTACTGCAGAGACCACGCCAGGAATTACCTTCTGCCCTAGCCAAAAGCAGCTTTCTGCAATCCAACACTGATGAGCACTGGAAGCTTCTTTTGAGCTCAGTCACAGCTGTTGATGCACCTTAAATTCTGTAACAAAAATAAATAGTGCTCCCAGTTTTAGTCTGAGACCAAAGACCATCATTTTGGCCAGTTGCACAGCGGGGATTATACCATAATGTGTTATTACAGCCCTGAACAAAACAACAAGTAAGAAATGGATGAATTAGCTCAACCCACCTGCTCTTGGACTGTCCTGTAGGACTCAAAACCTGTAGGATTTGCTGCGACTAAAGATGCCTGTGTAGGAAGGAAGTCCTGGGTATAGTTCATCACAAGATAGGTATTTCCCTAGAAAAGCAGCACCTTTCAATCTGGTTGTCCATGGGTATGCAGCTCTGACTGCAGGACAAAGCCAAGCTGGATGCAATTCAAACCCCATCAGCTGACCAGCACCACCGACAGCCTGGGAGGATGGCGTGGAGATGGACAGGGAGCACCTCGCTCCCGTGCAATACAGCACAAGGAACTTAAGG